CGGAATCAACTGAACAAAAATATTCAGACTTGTATGTCAAAGGTACAAAATCCGGAGCTGGTAATATCTCAAGCAAGTGGAAAACCCTCATAGAGAAGGAAGGGCTCCAAAATAACCATGGATGAACCCTGGCTGCAGGAATCACATTAGGAATAGGCATAGAGCCTACAAGGAAAGGGAGAAAAAAGAAACAGACAAAAAACTATTTTGTTGAAAATTTTCTGACCAGTTCTACGTATATAATTGTTTTGAAATTACTTTTTTGCCAACAAAACCAAAACCTAAGATCTATTAAGAAATAAGAGATGTAGAGGTTTTAAAACCACTTCAGTGCAAGAATTATATGAAAAAAAAAGAATAAGAACATGATGTGGATGACAGCAGTGGTGCAGAAGCAGCAAACTAACTTCATGATGAAGATTATCATTACTTCATTGGTTCAGCAACATCTACTAGAGGTCCAAGCTAACAAGCCTTGCTGTAGTTTCTGAAAAAGTAACAATCTAAGCTGTCTGAAACCACTCAGAATTAAGAAAATGAAGTAGCAGTCCTGGGAGAAATGGATTAGTCAGCAGATTGTAGTCCATGTGTCAAAGGTGTATAATACATTCAATTTATTACATCACATATTTAGGACTGTAGGGCTGAATTTGTTTTCCATGTGACATTATATGCATATCTATATATAAAACACATAGGCACTTTGTGTCACATATGCATATGTATACATACATACACATTTGAGTTTACATACTTGTTTATATAACAAGTTTGTCATCTTTCCAAAAATATTATAGGATTTTTTGTGGGTTTTTCACTTACAACTTCAAACAGAATTATCACATACTGAGATCTAATCCTGAAAACTAAACCTTTCCGTATGTAAGCAGTCTGCTTGCCTATAGATTTCTGAAATACGACTGTCATAAGGCAAGCTTCTTTCTTATAAATTAGAAAAACACACAGAAGTGTCTGATGAATTCTATAGTGTCTTGTTTTCTTGCTCTTCCCTTGAACAGAAGTTCTCCAAGGGATAGAAAACCACAGTTTCTCTCTAGAATCCAATGTCTCTTTTTTTCTTTCACTCTCCTCCCATCAGTCTGGTTACAACAGGAAAGTTTCTCAAAGAAAAAAGGCCTCAAAAATGGTTCACGCTTTGTTTTCTCAGGAAGCTCATTTCACAGTGAATAGTTCAGTAAAAAGTGCTGAAAATGCTGACACTTCTGTTTTAAAAAAAGTACTTTAATTTGTAAAGTAAGGGAATAGCTACATAGTGGTACTTCCAGTATGAAGGAGTGCAGAAAAAATAATATATATATATTTTTATGTAACAATTCAACCTGGTTACAGAACATCACAGAGACAGGTGTAAAGTATGGCTCCTGAAAAGTGACCCAGTGGCAGCACTATAAAGCTGTTATGTCTTGTTTTTCTCCTGGGAAACTTGTGCTGTCGGGTATTTTGTGGGATGAATCTGAATTTCAAGAAGATGAATAGGAAAGAAAAGTGGGGACTTCAGCCCACAGATATTAAGTCTATGTACTCAGCTACATTGATCCAGTCTGTGGTTGGGACAACCTGACACCGAAAAGTACAGGTATGTGGACACAATGTCTCAGATCCCTCACCTGTAAAATAAGCATACCTTACAATGCACCTGACAGAAGTATTACATGCATAAAAACATAGAGAAAGGTTAAGAGCAGTGCTGGTCTGAAGTCCAGCGGAAGGCAGGGCACCTTAAAGACTAATTGTTTCAGAGAGGCTTTCACAGGCAACAGCCTACTTCATCGTAAGGCCTGCTTTCTACAAATCCATTTATGGGTGTCAAAGATCTGGTCTGAATGCCAAGTTTGACCCATAGAGCCCCATCATCTGGCTTCCAGTGATAGTCCTGGGTCTGAGTTGACCCACACATGCCTACCTGGCCTTGTGGGCAGGGCCTGGGATGTGCAGTGCATGCAATGCCCATTCTAGCCATTCTGGGACACATACACACAGCACCTACTGCAGCTGGTCCAGGACCTGGGAGCCATGTATGGCACAGTCCCAGACCAACTGAGGGATGTTGTGTGTGGTGCTGTGTGCAATGACTTGAAACCTGGAGGCCTAAACTTACTCTATTCATATACATTAAACTAAATAATTCAATTAACAAATATTTGCTGCCTAAGTTTTAACAAAAATCAAACTACCAATGAAACAAAAATCATCACCAACTAAGCAACTGAAATACAGTTTACTGATGTGCTTTACTGAAGCACTTCAGACGCTTTTTGGAAGTCTTTGACAACACCAGTTCCTTTCATAGGAGAGAATATCCTTTTCATTTCAGTCGATTCAACCAGTCCAGTTTAGTTCATTCGAACACAAGACACTAACTGATATCAGTAAAAGCAGAAAAGCTTATATGCTTCCTTTAATATCAGAAAGAAAAAAATAAGATATCAGGATGAGATTAACTAGTTCTAAATTCTTAAAGGACAGGGGAACCAGAGAAAAATCAGTTCAATTCACTATCTACCAATAACACTTACTTTATTTAATATTTCAGTTGTTTTGTATTGGAAAACAAGACTGATAAACTTATGTTTTCTTATACACTACATTACAACAGTTTCATTGAACTAATAACCATTTTCAAAGTATGTTTTGTGTTAATTTAAATAAATTAAAATACCCATCTAAATGTAGCTCGCAAAAAATCATGAGCAAAAAGTATCATCATTATCTAGTAAGGTAAGTGATATTTTGTACCATCATAAAAAGTAGAAAATTAGAATATGAGTGAAGTTATGTAACTACTCAAATAACTGCTTTTAGATATGCTTTCTCCCTCAGAATCAGTGCATCAGAGATGCCTTCTTGCTTATATTTGGCCAGCTCCTCATCACCCTTTCACTATTTCAGAAGAAGTCCTTATCGTTTGGCATGCAGCACTATACTGGAAAGCAGTATAACTAAGTTCTGCTTTAACTGCCTATTTGGGTAATCATCCCATCCCTCCATACCTCAGTTGCCTCCATCCGTGAAACAAAGATAACAAGATTTATCTATCTTTATACAGAAATCTCAGATTTACAGAAGAAAATTGTTATATACAATGAACATACACCAACACATCACCCTTTTAAAATATTTCAGTTTCCAGTAAAAATCCTTATATTTAATTACACAGTGCCAATTAGAGTTCCTAATCTACCTAATGAATATTTTTGTGTGTGTGCAATCATAGCATATGGTAGAAACCCAGAAGTAGGACTACAGAAAAAAGTAGTAGCAGGAAAAATATATGAATTAACAAGAACGATGAAATAATGACACCAGTTAAAAAACACATTATATAAAACCTGGCTGTTTGGTTTTTGTCAGATAAAAGGCAAAGCCACACTGGAAAGGCAACAGAGATTTGCCAGAAAAAACGAGGTCCACTTCTCTCAAACATGTCATCTTTTAAAGCTTACAAAGATTCTCAAGTTCAATGACTGATCATTAGTTTACCTTCCATTTAGAATTTTATTCTGATACCAAATGCTAAGAACATAATAGAAACAATTTACAATCACATTTGTCTCACTTTATATTGCATATCTATTTTATAGCTGGTATTAAATGAACTTTAAAACCTTCAACTTCCATTTTTTCTATCAGTTATTTAATTTTATCCTGTTTTAAGCACAGTACTGTTTCTTTAATAGCATTACTGTGATATTTTAAGCTTCTAAGAGTAAAGTTGCCTTTTTATGTTAAAATCAGCAGGTAATTAAATAATACCAAAAATGCTCTTGGCAAACACTGTAGCTACATGTAGAACATCTGTTTAAGGTCAAAATTAAACCTGGGGCTAACATTTTTGTATACTGTGCACCATCAGTCTTTCATTTTGAAGCCACACAACTCCAGATGATGTCACATACAATCAAATATTGGAAATATAATCTTTCATCCCTCAGAGTAGTAGACATGATACAAAAGTGATGCGCTTTTGGGGAAATTAAGTACTGAGCTGAATAACCGTCTAAGTTACATAGTCCATCCCTTTGCACTAAAGCCTTAAACGAAATGGGTAGAATTAAACTGTACAAAGAATGGTGGGATGGCTGTCTACAGGGAACAGGAACAAGGCATCCGGATACTTCTCCCTATCTGAGAGAGAACTGGGGCTTTGTTATCTACGTAACAGACTAGCATACATAGCACCCATGAAGTTGCAGAGTAGGTTCAGAGACAAGACTCCCTCCTTAATCTTGCATTTTCAGACAGAGTTCCAAAACAAGCTATGGAAAGCATGCTGAGAAAAGAGCTTGCCCTAAATGAAAGTCAGGGTAACAAGGGCTTATGTCTGGATTTTTAGAGCAGAGGATACCTACTAGTAAAAATTATAATACAGATAATCATCTATATTCTAACTATAATGTGTCCTTTAACCTGTTCCCTAAGAGAGCTAATGACCTTTGAACCTATGAAAAAGGAAACAACCATGCATTCCTTCTTGAGTTTTTCTACTTCTCCAGCTTCATATATCAACTTAAAATGAATCTCTGCTACTATCCAAAGATCACATATGTTTCAGAAATAAACAACTTTTTTCATGTTTCATTCCCAATATACATTTGTCACTTCGAACACCAAAATGTCTCCTTTACCAAAAATCCTGCTACTTATTCAATTCTGATAGTCCCTTTCATAATCAGTACCTTTATCTTTGTGTTACCAGAAAGTTAATGTTCATTTATGTATATTCTTTTTCTACACTATTTTTCAAAACATATAATAAAAAATCATTTATGAACTAGTTTTAACAAGAGTTCCACTCACGTATTAAGTGAATATCAGATACCCAGGCTTTCTGTTAAACAATAAACTTTGGCTTGCCATCTTGTTTCTGGAAATAACTAAACATTTCTTGAATTAAGATAATTTTATTAAGTGACTTTCTACCCCAGTAACTTCCCTTTTGAAGTCCTGCATACATTGAGTATACTTTAAATAATACTTACCTCTAAAAGATAAGGCTCCATTTGATCCAGTGTTTTTCCTAGATGTTTATCTGGATCTAAACCTGTCAAGATATGTTAATATGTTTTAGAGAATAAAGTACTGTTTAGACATCAGAGTAAACTTTTTTTGTAACATACTACAAAGAACTTAGTTCCTTTATATTTAAAATCATTTTGATCCTAAAGTAAACCCATTTAGCAGGAATTCATTTTTTATTCCCTTTGGGAAACTGGTTTCCATGCTTGTGAAAAATAAGGTTCATTACCTTTGAGCTATGTGTCAACTGGAAAATGCATTGTTTTACTGTATGCTTTCCTTCCGAGTAATTTGATCAAAGGAAAACAGACAACGCAGGTTCACAGTAATGAAAATACTCTATGGACGTTACACAGTAATACAGTATATACAGAGTGATTTATTTATATACAGGCTAACTAGCTTTTATTCTTGCCCCATTAGCAATAAAAGACAAATTAATTAAGTAGACAACATCTACTGATTTTAATATTGCATACTACACTAGAGTGAGAGCATACCATAATCATCATTTTTATTTCAAGAATCCCTTCAGTTTTGATAGGTGAAGACATTTTTGTCCATTCCCTTTGGATCTTAGTATGTGTTTCCATTATGTATTATTTTACATTTTAACTAAATAATTATATTTTAATTTAGTTTTTTAAGGTGTAAGTATTGATAATGGTCTCCTTAAGGTTAATGGATACATTTGATTGCCTGCTTTGACTTGTTTAGTTTTTTGCTTTTTGGTTTGTCAACAGATTTGCCAACCCAAGCTATGATATAATTAGTTGTTGAAAGCAGAGTTCATAGCTGGAACTAGGTAAGAGGTGAATGAAAAATAAAAAACCTTTAAGCTCAGAGTTCTGTAATACCTGTTGTGTGAACTGGTCATTTTTCCTCCTCCTTTCCATTCTATCTACTGCATCAAAACTATACTATTTTTTCCACTGGTTGTTGTATGGTGTTCATATTTCCTTGGTTTCACCACATTGTACAATTTCCATAGCTTGTTACAAAGCTGTCACTGGATATGGCTGCATCTCAAGTATGGTTTAAGCAATGCCTACAATATGTAGTTTATGAAGTACTTTGGAATCCTTCAAAATGAAAGTCACTATAGAAATGTAACATTTATTATTATGATAAAGGCTTTGTTGAGGTTAAATAAGTGGCTTGCCTTTGAATTTGGCAATGACAGCATATTCAAGATTCTGTGAAGCTAAAATAATTTTAAATAAGTGAAATTTTAAAAACATAAATAATAAAATTAAACATAGATTATCTGATGGAAATATTTTAAAAACTAATGAATCATTAAAAGAGTCAGACTCCACCTCCCCTTGTTGGTGTCCACGTGTCTGTGTGTGCATGCATGCATATATTCCTGTTAAAGAATAACTGAGGTTAGGAACAGATGTTGCATTTGTCCCTCAATATGCCATGCTATTTGTCCTGGAACAAAAATATCCTAGGATTGGCACATACATACATTACCCTTCTAATCAGTGGCTGAATGAATGCCTTTTTTTTGCCATTGGTTCAATGATGGAATCCCAGGATAACTGTACAGACATACTTTACAATATCTCAGGATAAAATAATACTACCTTTATCTGGGAAACTTTTTAGGATTTATCCCAGGACAATGGGCACAGGTATCTGTACCACTGTACTTTGTCCTGGGATAACATGGTTTATCCCAGGGTAAATGCGATGTCTGTTTGCAGCCAGAGTGAAACTAAATATTGTTACAAATTATACTCTGCATCTTAGTAACATACCCTATCTAAATTATGTTTGTGACCAATATAACAATCATTTTTAAATTATTTATTTTTATTATGAGATATTTATTTGACTCTGTAAGACACAGCTTTGTTCCCGCTGCAAGAAAAACAATAGCAAAACTCCCACAGACTTAAATAGTGTATGATTAGCCTGCTCTGCCTATTTCTTAGGCCTAATATTTTGTCTGAAGGTTTTCTCTGTTAATCAGCAACAGAATGAGACAAGATTGAACTTTTGCATCCTTTTAGAATCTGTAAAACTTTTTAAAAGTTTTGATTCTTTCCATTTTCATTAATGGACTACTGTAATGGAATTACACTTTGTACATTGATTATATGTATTATTGCTTTCAGTTCTTTGATTAATGTTTTTCTGCACCTTCTGGTAGTTCAGATATAGTGACCTATGCTGTCAGATACATATATTTTCTCTATTTTATTATACTTTTTGTAATAGGAAGCTATACGTGTATTATGCAACATGCACAAATGTCTATGGGAAATGTATTTTTATCAGAAGTAATGTAGAAATATGTGATGGTGTTTGGTGCTATAGAGATTATACTACAACAGTTTTGGGATGACTGCATTATTTATGACTGGCACAACTACAACCTGTGCATGTCATCCAAAACAAGTGGCAATAAAACTTTGTATCACTCAACTCCTTCATATATTTTGTTTATGCTATACATTTATCCGTCTTTGCTTATTGGTTTTGTTCTTACTCTGTTTTGTTTTCTAATTAAATATTGCTCCAACAGAAACAATGTCATTATAACAGACAGAGCTGAATGATATCCTCAATACCATAAAAAGTAGGTATTTATTTAATAAGTTGTATTATTATAATAGCCACAGAACAAAGGAGTTGATAGCTATTGTGACCACTATGCTATAAAAAACAGATACTTACCATATTTACTAAAATACAAAATGAAGTTTCCCCCTCACCCCCCCTAACACGGGGAATAAAACCAAGGGTTTTATAATCTCATACAAGGAAATCTCACTAAATACACTGTCCCTTCAAGAAGAGACTGGACGGTCACCTTGCTGGGGTCACCTGACCCCAGTTGTCTTTCCTGCCTAGTGTGAGAGGGCTAGACCTGAAGATCTTGCAAGGTCCCTTTCAATCTATGAATCAATCATTAAGTAGCTGTCAAAAGTAGTATATACTCAGCAATGGAAATCAGCTATGAAGCTGATTGAATATAGCCAATAATGAGCATGACTATAAAACATATGGCACACATGGGGCAAACATGTTGATGGGAACCTACCACACGGGCAAGCCCACCTGAATAAGATATATGGTAGTGCCCATTATGCACAATCCCCCTCACTGCTGAGTGAAGTCATGGTGATCCCATTATGTTATAGTGAGCCCATGGTGAGCCCACATACATTTTTACTTCCTCTTTACCCCCAAAGCTGAGCTGTGTCTTTTGTTCCCATTTCCAATGATTCCTGTTACTTCACTGACCTTAAATGTCCAGCAAACATTACAAAACAGGGCCCCAAACAATTCACCCAGAATCCCTCTGTCACCCCCTCTCTTAGTCTGGTGCATATGGAGGGCTGGACCACACTAATCATAAGATGAAGCCAGACCAGATTGCCCTGTGCCTCATCATCAGCATATATATTTTAGGAGCATCCCAGTACTCATGAAAAGACCACTCAGTACCAGTCATGCATGGGGGCTAATTAGCACATGGATCCTTTGTTGGGGGGAGGGGGATTCTAGAATACACACACATACTGAGCTATGGGGTAACTGTGGCTTGAAACACTGTTGACTCTTCTGGGGCCCAGCCCAATGAACTATGTTGTAAATCATAAGTCTCTGGCTTTAGACTAGTATCATGCATAGTTTGAACTACATAGTAGGTGCCAAAGTGCTGCTTAAAAGTGTGTTTATGGAGTACCTGTGCTAAAACTTGCAGCAATTTCAAAAAAAGGTAGCATGCATCAATTCCAGCTGAACTGATGCCCAGGTACTATACATAAAATGCTGCAATCATGTTTACGTTCAAGGTTATTGTTTTCAAACTTACTCAGAAACATCACCATCTACACGTGATGGTATTAGGCCACAGTAAACTAATTAACATCACCATAAGAAAGTACTGTCCTTGAGAGATCAATTATATGTGATTAAACGCACATATAGACGTTGATTGCAGATGTAAATTGTGCCTGAGCCGCCCGGACACCAGGGGACCAGAATCCTGCCAGCCACCTAGCCACACTGCTCCACACTTTCCGCACCTTCATGCCCCAGCCAGCAACTCTGCCACCTGACACCGCAATCTGGAGCCCAAGGCAAAGTAGGGCAGGAGCAGCCCTGGAGTAAACTGCTCCACCTCAGCTCAAATTGCTGTTATCCCAGGCTCATGTGTAAACACTGCACCAGGGAGTTTACTCTGGGTCAAATTGCTCTGAAGTTTATTGCTTCAAATTTATTTCATGTATAGACACACCCACTGATACCACATTATTTTGGAGACAGAGATGTAAAATATACATATCACACCATGTTATTCATATACTCAACTTCCTCTAATTATAGACAATATTTTGCTTGCTCTTTAGCCCAAAAATTCTGAACAATTTTGAAACAATAAATATCACAGAAACATATACACATACACAAATAAATCCTCTGTATATACTAGAAACATGTAGAACTAAAATCAGCCATACAGCCCAAGGTTATGTGTGAATCAGTGGAAAAATTCAATGTGTATTTTAGCTCTCTCTCAGTATAGCTCAATTTTATTGAAGGTCTTCACTTTTTCTTTGGAATATATGTATTTCTTTTAGATTTTCAATTAATGTAGAAGTGCCCATTTCATATGAAGATTATCTTGTTAGTAGATATAACCTGCAGTTTAGTGAAAGCATTAGGTATTCATATAATTTACAGTATCTGCAGAACCAGTAATCAGCAAACTGGATCTTGCTGGATCATTTAATCTATTAAAGCTTTCATAATCAGCTAGATATACTCATTCTGCTACTATTATTACTATAATGAAATATACTAATATACTATATAAGATTATGAATCTCAGAAGTTAGCTTAATTTGAAATATTTTACATACTTTTCCTTAAATAAAGGAACATACTACTTTGGGTTCTAATAATTATTTAGATTTAAAAATTCCTAACTACATGTCATTTCATCACATAATACTTATACTTCTTCAGCATAACCAGCTCTGAAGAAAGCTGGATGGGTGGATA